GCTGACCACTGGCAACCTTTTCTCTAACAAAATGATAGTCCATCTCAACATGCTTTGTTCTGGAATGCATTATTGGATTGACTGTCATATATAGTGCACTCAAGTTATCACAGAATAATATTGGTACAGTTTTTAAACGAACCCCAATGTCATTGAGAATGTAGGTTATCCATGTCATTTCAGTTGTTGTCTAGTCCAGTGCTCTATACTCAGCTTCTGCACTAGACCTTGAAACTGTGTGTTGCTTCTTTGATATCCAAGATATGCAGTTAGCTCCGAGGTAGATATGGTAGCCTATAGTTGATCTACTAGTCATAGTACACCCTTCCCAGGCTGCATCAGATAAACCATATAACCTGAATAGTAACTGAGACAAGATTCATAGACCATACTCAGTTGTGTCCTTCACATATCTAAGTATCCTTTGTACAACTTGGTAATGATTGTTGTTTGGACTTTGCATGAATTGACTTGCCAAAGTTACTGCATGAGCTATGTCTGGCCTTGTGAGAGTTAAATACTGTAGACTGCTAACAATACTCCTGTATAGTGAAGCATCCACTGGACCATCCATAAATTTTTGTAGACCATGCTTCTGTGCTAGAGGTGTGCTTATTGGTTTAGCAAGTGCCATGCTAGTCTTGGTAAGTAATTCTACAACATACTTACTTTGATTCAGATGGATGCCTCCAGTAAAGTAGGTGGACTCGATCCCTAAGAAGAAATGTAGAAAACCAAGGTCCTTCATAGCAAACTCCTTCCCTAGTTCACCAATGATTTTTGAAATTAGTGCAATGTGACTCCTAGTGACAATAATATCAACATACAGAAGAAGCAGGATTGTGGCTCTTTTACAGTACATCACAAAGAGTGATGAGTCTATCTTACTGCGCTTAAACCCAAGGTGAAGAAAATGTGGACTGAACTTGTCAAACCAAGCTCTAGTTGCCTGCTTAAGGTCATACAATGCTTTCTTTAGAAGGCACACACTGTCATGTTGTCTAAGATCTTTAAAACCTGGTGGCGGACCCATGTACACCTCCTCTTGTGAATATCCTTTGGCAACTAGTCATGCCCTGTACCTATTAATGGATCAGCCTTTAACTTAGTTTTAAACACCCACCTAGAGCCAACTATATTCATACCAGGTTCCTTGGGCACCAGTGTCTAGGTCTTACTTTGGTGAAGTGCATTAATCTCCTCTTGCATAGCTGCAAGCCATTCTGGTGAGCTAAGTGACTTATAGTCTGTGGCTCCTTAGCTGCTACCAGACCATGTGATACTTTTGTGCATTTAATGTGTGCTCTACTGGTTTTGCTTGTGTTGGTGTAGCTTGTGTATCCTGATTAGGTTCAGTGTTGGACCAATTAGACAAGTCAACTTCAAGCTGGATTCCCTATGGATCATAAACTGAAAACACATTAGAGTCAGAAGATGCACTGTCCTGAGTTGAGCTATTTGGTTCTTCACTTGATCCAGTGGACTCAGGTTCAGCAGGGGCATCGGTCGTGATCCAAGGAAGGCTAGGAGTTGCTGCAACCATGTGATCATTTATTCCTATAGGAACTGCTACTAAAAGAGATTCAGCAGGCTCAACATTGTGGTCAGTTCTTAGTGTAGTCTCAACAGTCCCATCAGGCGCATCAGCATGAGCATCAACTGGAGAATCAGGTGTGGATTGATCACTTGGTGGTGATGCATTCACATATGTTGTAGGCTGATCACCTTGATCACTTTATGGTGATCCATTCAACACTTCCCCTGAAGTATAAGAGTCCACATCTGAGCTTGAGGTATTCTGCATCTTGGAGAAAAATGCATAGAAGGTAGCAATGTGAGTAGAATCACTTAAATTGTCCAGTGGTGCGTCTGGTTGCCCATAGGGCAATGTGTTTTCATCAAAGACCACATGTCTTGAGACAAAAACTCTCCTAGTAGGTGGGTGGTAACACCTATAGCCTTTATGAAGGCTACTGTATCCAATAAACACACAAATATAAGTCTTTGGAGAGAATTTTATTTTTCCTTTCAAGTAAGGAAAACACCTGCATCCAAAGACTTTTAGACTATTATAATCCGGATGCTCTCCAAAGAGTTTAAAGAATGGAGTTACCATTTGTAACACTGATGAAGGCATTCTGTTAATTAAGAATACAGTTATGAAGAAGGCTTCTACCCAAAGAAACTGTGGCAACTTTGCATGAAACAACAAAGTCAGACCAGTTTCTACTATATGTTTGTGGTTCCTCTCGAAAATTCCATTATGCTCAGGTGTGTGAGGACAAGATATATATATATATATATATATATATATATATAACAATACCACAGTTATCTAGATGTTCAACAAATGCAACGTTGTTAAATTCACCACCTCCAACACACTGAAAAATCTTAATAGTCATAAAATTCATATTTCCTTCTTAGTGGATAGAGACAGATATATCTTGTACAGTTATCAACAAACACCATATAGTATTTCATGTCTTGAGATGATTCAATAGGTAATGGACCCCAAAGATCACAATGAATTTTAAGCAAAGGCTCTTTTTCAATCTTATTTCTCAATTCAAATGGAAGCTTAAAACCTTTCCCTGACTAACAACTAACACAAACAATAGGGAGTTTATTCCAATACGTGACATCAATACACTTATTACTACTAAGAATCTTTAAAGACTTTAAACTAGGGTGTCCTAATCAGTATGCCTAATATTGTTTGTATTCTTCCACTCTTTTGATACAAATAGGGCATAGAAGTTATTGTCCTCCAGTACATATAAATCATTCTTCTTAGATCCCTTGGCTAGAAGTCTCCCTGAGCTCTTGTCCTTTACAACAAAATCAGGTTCATCAAACTCAAGTATACAAGAACTGTCCTTAGCAAGCTTACTAACTGACAACAGTTTCTTTTTAATCTTAGGAACAACAAGAATTTGCTTTACTTTAAGTCCAGATTTTGTTGTATTGCCAATATGTGTGATGTCAAGTTTAGATCCATCTCCAACTATTATCTTATTAGAACCATTACAATGTTGAAGTTTTGACAAATTACTTGTTGAATTGGTTTTGTGACTGCTTGCACATGAGTCAACATACATAGATTCATCTTCAGCCTGTGTATTCTGCAGGTTAATAGCAGAAAGGCATGTGGAAGATCCTCTATATCCTGGTAGGAATAGTCCCACCTGTAGAAGCATTTTAAGGATGTGCGGTTGTTTCTTCCACATATTTGGTAATTTTTCTTGCCCTTTGGTTGACTCGAATTCGCAGTGTTCTGAGTAGCTTGATTAATCTGATTGCTATTGTCACGACCCAAAAACCAACTGTCATGATGGCGCGTATCGTGGAACTAGGCAAGCCACTAATCAACTATCTCAACACAGTAAAAGCTTTAAAATATAGGCGGAAGCAATTTAATAATTAAGGAAAAACCTTTTTGAAAACAGAAAAATCCAAAATATGATACAATCTATCACAAAACCGGGATGTCACTGAGTACGTGAGCATCTATGTTAGAATAAAGTCTACTACAATGTCTAAGGAGTAAAAATTGGAGTGTAGATAAAGATAATGAAGGAGAGTCAAGGCTTGCGAATGCCGTACAGCTATCTCGATAGTCTCCGAGATCCTAGCTCCTCAATCAGCAGCCGCCGTAACCAGAAGCACCTGGATATGCATATGAGGTGCAGGGTGTAGCATGAGTACAACCAACTCAGTAAGTAACAAACCCAAACTGTGGGCTGAAAGTACTGACAAACTCAACTGGCACAATTCAATAAAAAACAAAAAAGTGCAAAAATGTAGACATGCTTTCAAGTTCAATAGATATCTTAAAATAGTAAAAATGGATGAATCTGAATGATACGAAAAATATAACTCCTCAACCTCTACCATGCCAATGCAATGATGTATGTGATGCACCATGGTGACAGCCTCATGTGCTCACACTCTCGAATACTCAACCACTCGGTACTGTATATGACCCATACGGCCCAGGAAAGATCCATCCCAGAACATATATATCACTGACTATAAGTTACCCAGTACCGAGGAAGGCCAATCCATCCCTGTGGAGAAGATCCATCTCCAGGTTCACACTCTCAAATAATCAACCACTAGGAGTAGTATATGGCACGTACGGCCCAGGGAAGATCCATTCCAGAACATATATATCACTGACTATAAGTCACCTAGTACCGAGGAAGGCCAATCCAGCCTTATGGAGAAGATCCATCTCCATATAATATCAACTGCGCTCACTGGGGTGTGTGCAGAATCCGGAGGGGCTCTTTCAACGCAAGCGCTATCATAAATCAGTATAACCACTGCGGCGTGCAGCCCGATCCCATAAATATCACTCATAATCAGGCACTCGGCC